TATGGTAAATAAATTACAAGAATTCATATTGAATGCTAGCGTGACATTATTATTATATTATGGCCCTTTCCCGAGGGAACTGTTCTCTTAGTGTTGTCTGGGGAGGTATAGTGCCCGAGCCGTGAGGCGAGGGCACTATACCTCTCCAGACAACACTATAAGAGAACTGTTCCCGATATTTGTCTATATAGTACACAAAGAGTGGTAAAAAGTATATGTAAAAAGTGGTAAACACAGCATATAGAGTGGTGTACACAGAATATAAGGAGTGGTAAAAATGTATATATTGAGTGTTACACACAGTATATATAGAATGGAATACACAATATATAAAGTAGGTATACAGTATATGAGAAAAGTTGCATAGAGAGTATGTAAGGAGTGGTAAACACCGCATATAAGGAGTGGTACACAGCTTATAAAGAGTGATATACAGAGTATATAAGGATTGATCTTGTAACATAGTATATAAAGAGCGGTATACAGGATATAAAAGAATTGGTCTGCATAGTATAATAAGAGTGGTATACAGAGCACAGAGAGTAGTATAAATATTATACAGAGAGTTGTATTCAGAGTATAAATGAGTGATATACAGAGTATACGGAGAGTGTTGTATAGCTGAACATAGTAAAGAAAAGGTGGTATCCTCTATAATACAGCCTCATTGCATAAGATACCTGTATGTATCATCTCTAATATATATAGTGTATTAAATCATTTTCCAGAAGATACAATGAACATGATACAAAATATGTACATGGTATGTTTTCCAGTAAGGAGGAAAATAAGACATTTCATCTTCAAAAACCTACTCTTCCTGAATGACTGCCAAAATTGTAGTATATCTCAGGTCTGAAAAAACTGAGGCAAATCAGTCACTGGGCCAGAGCATTTGAGTGCCAATAGAGGAAGTTTGGGTGTAAAGATAATTAAGACCCCCCACCATGTAACCATCTGAATACATCCATGCTGACATGATTGGCTCCAGGGTCCTGCCCTGCCACAAGGGGCTTAATTTAATGATACCAAGATAGTCCTTAATGGAGCCCACCCAACCCCTGAGGACTTACTCCTTCAGTCATAACATGGAAATTATTGAGATCCCCAAGCTGATATTTCTTGTATGGTAAGAGGTAATCAACAACTTTTAATGAAAAATAAATTTCCAGGTGAGCTATTAATAATTAATGCGCCTGTGCTTTTTGTTCTAGAGAGGCCACAAAAAGGGAACATATTTGGAAAAATCCAGCACAAGAACACAACATGATTTTATATTTCCTGTGCATGCAATCAATATGAACAAATCAGACAACTATTATAAAGATGAGGTACCTTACCTACAGAGAATATGGACCTAACATATACCTCATGTATATGTGCATGCATACTTGATGTATAGGTGCAATCTGATGTATAGGTGTATACCTGATGCATGTGATGCATCATTGGGAGGTTTGTATACCTGATGTAAGGAGGTGTATATAGGATCTATTGGATATGTATACCTGATCTATAGGAGGTAAATACCTGATGAATGGGAGGTGTATACCTGATCTATGATCTATAGAAGGTATATACCTGATGTATAGGAGGTGTATACCTGTATAGAAGGTATATACCTGATGTTTAGAAGGTTTATACCTGATGTATAGTTGCAAGCTATAAGGGCCTGAGCCAAAAGGGGTCAAAATAGCTAAAACAATAATTGTTTTAGCTGTCTACTTCAGATCCAGATATGATGAAAACCTTCTCATTGATGGAAATACCCTGATGTGCTTAATCAAAATGTGAATTTCACAACCCCTGGGGTACCAATTCCTCCCTGGGAAGGGGCAAAATTCCCTGCTACACATATGTAATTTTTGTTTTTGTCATATCACAACAACAAATAACAATTGCATTACAACTCGGGTGACCTGTTAGGCCCATGGGGCTCTTGTTTTAAAGTACTGTATTAGTTGGATGTGTTGATATTGGCTTCCACTAATAATCCCACTCTTTACCTATAATTAGATGTGGGTTAATACAATATCACATGCTTATTAAGTGTGCATATATATATACTGTAATGCCCATTTATCATATATAATATCTTCCATTGTATATATAAATGTGTACCTGGTAGTATTTGACATGTCTCTATAGGTTGTAGGTTATGGAATTATGCACTATAGAAATATTTAAATTTCAAATATTTAATATCAATATGGATTGAGTGTCGATGCTATATATTTCTGTACCAAAAAAAATATATTTGTTTTTGGGCTGAAATATCTATCCTAGATATTATTATTAACAAGTTTATATTTACCGCGAGCGGTATATAATACGCCCGTGACGCATTGAATGAGCAGTTGTTTGTATGATTGAAATATATGAAGTATTTGTGAGTAATTGATATTAAAAGAGAAATCATTCAACATAACTGATAGATCAATGAGTGCAATACAACATCATGGAACGCATGCATCCCATAAATGAAACCAAGGGAAATAACTCCAATAATTATGGTCGGATAATGGCGGTTATCGAACTTGTCCGAGGTTTCATGGTAATTAACCTTGTTGTGAAGTTTGAAGTTAATCCGTTAATAATTACTCGAGATATCGAGCGGACACCGTTTCGAAAAGTCCATAAAGGAGCATAACTCCACAAATTATGGTCGGATAATGGCGGTTATCGAAGTTGTCTGAGGTTTCATGGTAATTAACCTTGTTGTGAAGTTTGAAGTTAATCCGTTAATAATTACTTGAGATATCGAGCGGACATCGTTTGCATGCCCGCCCGCCCGCCCACGTGATAACATAATACGTCCTCGTCTTCGACGGGCGTATAAAAAGAGTTATGCAATACTTATCCACAAGTTTTTAAATTTGAGTCTTGAGCCCAAATTTTAAGCACATGTATCAGTAAACTGAATATTCCCTTGGAATCTGCTTCAAACTTTTGGGAAAAGGTCCAGTTACTATTAGTCCGAATTATTCTGACGTTTTATCGACTTTTTTTCATATCGGTCTGTCGTCGATTAATTATTCTGACGTTTTATCGACTTTTTTCATATCGGTCTGTCGTCAATTAATTATTCTGACGTTTTATCGACTTTCTTCATATCGGTCTGTCGTCGATTAACGTCAGGACTCCGGCCCTCTATAATATGCGGGAAATATGCGACCCGTTCCCGGAGCGCACTTCAAACTGATATTTTAGAAACAAATCGTCACTTTCGCACACATGTCGCACATGGATTGAAAGATCTATTCTTTATGCACTAGGTGGTATCAATAACATGTTTCAAAAATCATTACGAAAAGAATGTTCCAACGTTTTCTATACCAACCCATGTTTTTAATGGAAATTAGGCCATGAGCAATGTCACATGACTTGACGAGATCTCGCGTTACCGAAGGTATTTCCCAACGTTATGACGTAGCCCGGCGAGATTTTAGTCACGTGGCATTAGAAGGCGGGGCTATACAAAAAATAGAGTAAAACAAAGTAAGTTTGAAAAAATGTTTTTAGTAATTGTATTGGTTGTTTGAGGCATGTTATGTATGTTCATCTTGTGCATAAAGAATATATCTTTCGATCCATGTGCAACATGTGTGTGAAAGTGACGATTTGTTTCTAAAATATTAGTTTGAAGTGCGCTCCGGGCGCGGGTCGCATATTTCCCGCATATTATAGAGGGCCGGAGTTCTGACGTTAATCGACGACAGACCGATATGAAAAAAGTCGATAAAACGTCAGAATAATTCGGACTAAGTTACTATATGCTCCCCTGTGTGATAAAATGCATTTGGAAAAGGAACTGAAATACAAGACATTCTTCATTTTTGAAATTATATCTAATTGAGTTCCCTAGCATAGCATGGAATGAACACGCAATAGATTTGTAAACGAGTGAAACAACACAAATGTACATAGCATGGAAAATAGACACTTATCAACTAGAGAAATAATACAAATGTACATAGAATTAGATTCAAAACCAGAAGTAACTAATTCTATAAAAAAATAATTATGGCGGTGATCCCCTTCCATACTTTTCCCGCCGTCTCAGCGGTCCAAAAAAAAAGGTATAGTGCCCGTCTCCAGGTATGGTTCCCGTTGTCAAGGGCGGATAACTATACCAAATAGAACAAGGGAAGTTATCCAATAGCTATCCTAGAAATTATCATGTGATGTACTAATCTTCATAGTGTAAATATATTGACCTAGACGGTCCTTAATTAATGTTATGAGATCAATATTTCCCCTACCCCCAATTATCGTTTTTGATCATGTAAAAAAAAAGTTCCATCCCTTCAAAGTTGTGGGACTTTTTGAATGTCATATAGACTACTCCATATTGTAATAACAAGAATTAAATTATTTTGCAATTAGTTTGACCTTTGAGCTATTTTTGTCATACAATAAATTCCGTAATCGTCAATATTGACGGAGGAAGGTTTAAAGATGAAGAAAGACTGGACTAGGGTGCTCGTCGGCATTTTGATACATGTGTATTTGGACAAATTATCAACTGACACCCTTAAGTACAAAATATAATGTGACGAATTTGCCTACACTAACGTTACGCAACTCGGATGGTATTTCGCGTTCTTTTTATAGAACCACGCGCCCAAAACATCAAATTGTGATAGAAATGAAAAGTGGATAGTAAGTCGATAGTAGGCAAGAAGCCTTATTTAACGTCGAATAGGGTGAACAATTTAACATAAGCTCTCAGGAGCTTGTATTTCGACAAACACGATAAATATAAATAACAGTAAATATGATACAAGATAAGACAAACACAATACATGAAATGAAACAAATATCACATGCACATATCTAAAAAGTGTCCCGATTTGGGTTAAGTCCATACTACTATCCTTGGATGTATCACTGGGTTCCGTAACTGTATAATATTTCTAAGAGTTTGCAAACATTTCACAAACATATAATGTTAAATCCGAGTCATGCTGTCCACTTAAAAAGACTATAGAAGGGGAATAACTCTAATGAGATGAGCTGCAATGTCAAAATGTGGGTCATGTTTTATCACCGTTTGACGATTGTTGCAATATGTCAAAGTCCGGCAGACTCATGACAAGACTGGTCCAGCTACGTTTGGCAACATATGTACGATCCCGTAACTTGTCCTGTGAAATTCCAGCAATGTCACTGAAACATCTTGGAAAAGGTAAAGTGCAAAACGTCGATAAAGTACATGTATGTAATAATCAGTAACGAAAGAATCTACCACGGGACCAGTAGTAGTACTGAACACAGATCGATGTTAGCCTATAAAACAAAAACGGCAGATACGGTTCTTACTTGAAATTTTACCCGTTATTTTGTTTCTTAACCTGTTAAAGAACTGCAAGTAATTCGGCCAATGGCCATCAGCCCCACATGAGTTTGGTTACAAATGTGTAACAGGAGCAAGACGGGCCCAGTTTATTATGAACAAACTACCCCCGGCTCGCTACCTTTTCCTCACAACCCAGGTTCGAATTGGGTAGCTTGTTTCTGCTGGTGAAGGTAATAACTCAACTCCTTTTGTGATACAATAACAGTATTTATTAACAAGAGATACATGAAGCATTGAAACATGAACAATAATACAGGCCTAGATGAGAACACGTAAAACCCTTAACAAGTTGCCGAGACGACCCCCCAACCCTACATAGTACTAGGCTACTAGGCTAACATCCACCCGACATTCCAAACCTTATCTATCTAAACATGAACTATCTTTAATCTGCTATTCTAACATTACCGTACCTACTATCCCCTATAGAAGTCTATGGCAGTCGTAACAGGAAACCAATCCTTCACTCTGCGCTAAAACCGAAAGTAACACCCCACTATATACCTAGCAACATTCACAATACAAAACTCTCGACCAATGAAAACATAGTGCTGTCGCAGACACAGGCACAGACAGAAAAGCATGAAATCACAGACAGGTAAACTGACAACACTTAGCACTGGACTGGTACACATGGACAGGACACCACAACAGACAGAGGTCGGGTGACTCCAGTGCACCCTGGCCTCCATGTAGTACCGTAACTACACTGCATTCACGGACCCCTGTCTGACACATAGAACACATATAGACTATATACAACAAGAATCCCCCCCCCCTTCGCCCCCCCTCCCCGCTACACACTTCCCTTCTTTGAAAAAGTTATGTATACAGGATGTCTTAGAAGTTCCCATATAACTCTAAGCAAGTAAAAATGAACAATTTAACAACAACAAAACCATACCCGCTAGCATAAACCATTAATAAATCTAAGAAATATATATATACAAGAGGCCCATGAGCCTTAACGGTCACCTGATATATTTATACAGAGAGTTGATTTTGTTTTTAACATGAACAGAAATATTATTCAAAGTGACAAAAAA